GGGAAAATATGCTTGCAGTACAGTACATTCAAGGAAAATCGTAACAACAAATATAAAAAGCTTGTGCCAACAACAAGTCAGCGCCAGTATTTTACTGTAAACGTCGGGTAACTATTTATAATTTTTTATGTTTTAAACTGAAAAACGATTAAATTACAGATTTTTACTGATCTGTTTAGCTATTTTGAAGTGAACATTCTAATAAATTACGATTTCAACTTTTAAAAGTTTGCAAACAAATTTTTAATTAGTTATTTTTTATTCTAATAAACAATTTCATTTTTTTATAATCGCTGAATTACTAAAATTAAAAATTAAACACTATTACATAAAAGTAGTTTATCCTGTTATTAATTAACTCCCTTGCTACTCACTAATTTTTAATATTAATGTAATTAAACATAAAAAATATTTAAAACTGGGGAAAAAACGAAAGAAATGCGTTAATTTTGAAGAAAAAGCTTCAAACTTTATTTTCCATTGTCTCGCCTTTCTGTGAAATCTGACACCGATGAGTCATTGTGTTTACAGCTGGATGACCTGGAGAACAGCTGGTGTTGGGATTTCCCGGGACATTCTCATAGAAGTCTCGGGAGGAGAAGGGTTTAAAGTAGAGTGAATACTAGCTGGCTGTATATTTTTAAATATTTTTCAAAAATTACGTTTTTTTATTGCGATTTCCGACCCCCCGACTTAATTAAACGTATATATAATAAAATATATTAATTTAAAAAAATTAAAAAACTATTGGAGGTCGTTTTTGACATCAGAAACTAGCTTTAAATAACTTTATCGAAGTAAAATCCGTGCACTACTACTTTAGAACGATGAATGAAATTTGATAAAAAAACTCCCATTAAAAAACAATTAAGAGTTAATCGTGCGTCATTAAAGGTATATTAAAATCGCGATAAAATATTTTCGCGCGGGAAAAAATTTTTGAAAAAATTTGGAGACTTAAAAAACATCCAAAAAAAAACAAAAATTTTTTCGGAGGGCCCAAATGCCCGAGTTTTATATAACGCTATGGAACTTTCCCGAGTTATCTCGGGTTTTAAAGATTGCAGCATTACTTCTTGCCGCCTGCGTATGGCTATGATTGGTCATCTATATTCAGCAAACCAAATCAACAACGCAGTTAAGGAGACAAATTCCCTGACTTTTTGACAATTTTTGACAAATTCCCTGACTTTCCCTGACTTTTTCAAAAAATAATGAAAATCCCTGACTTTCCCTGACTTTCCAGGTGCGTAGGAACCCTGTATGTATTAGTAAAGTAGTGCAGTGAGTAAATAAAAACAAACAGTGAAGTGTGAGTAGTCAAAGTGATACAGTGACTGAATATAAATTCTCGAATGTTCTCAAATGTTCTGGACTGTTTTAGAAATTTCTAGAGGGCAAAACTTTCAGCCCTTCAACAGCATGCCCAGGGAACCTTCTTCATGGATGGGGGATAGAGGGCTACCATACCATATCGTACCGGGACTCATTTTTTGAGTTTTAGCAGCACGCGCATTGTACACTTACCTTTATAATATATATTGATATTGATGATGATTACTTGATTGATAGATTTACTGATGTGATAACTGCTAACAGTATACTGAACAAAATTAAGTTTAACAAAACAACAAATCAGATTGAAATCAGCATGAACTTATGAAAGAAATTGTTTCAAATTATTCATAACATAAAACCACAATGCAAACAAAATAGCTAAAGGGTATTAATAAAAAGATCTATATAAATAAATAAGATCTCTTAATTTCATTGGAGGAAACAAAGTTAAAATTTAATTTTGTAATAAAAATTCTTACAAATTTATTTTTTTTTCTAAGATATATACAATGTCTATAATTTCTTGATATGATTAAATTCTGAATAAAATAATGAACCAAAACAGATATCAAAGATTGTTTTTTTGATCTAATACAGCAACTCTAAAGTTTTACTTTGCAATGTTACTAGTTTTTTTTTCAAGAAAAAACTGAACCGATAATTGTCTAGATATGCTGAAATTGTCTTGTATTCCTCAATAGGAATAAATGCAATCTGATCAATGTTTTCCAGTAGAATAGAATACACTATACTATGAAATTACACATGCAAATTCTAATCAATGATAGATGTATTCAATGACCACCTTGATCTCCCAGCTTTCACATATCTGGATTTTTTGTGAGGACATAGTACATGCAAAGGTTACTGACATCGAAGAGTTGAAACACCAAATAGCAGAGGCAGTGATTTCAATCTCCTAAAATAAGCTGTAAAACACTAGCAAACAAACCAATTACAGATTTAATAGTGTTTGTGTTACTAAAGGCAGTGTCAAAATTTACTAAATTTCTTAAGCTTCTGTAATAAGAAATCTGAGTTATTACATTTAGTAAAGAAAAGAAAAAAAAAAAAAAAAAAAAAAAAAAAAAAAAAAAAAAAAAAAAAAAAAAAAAAAAAAACACTTTCTTCATCTGTTATGGTTTATGTTTTATTAAGTTTGTTAATTTAATCTAGTCAATAAATTGTAGACATTTTGTATTTGTTGTATTTAAATTTGGTCAGCATAACATAGAAAACATTATGCTGTCGGATTAAAATACATTTATATACCTCCCATTTTTACACCTAGAGTAAAATAATTACTGAAGATGCCTTTGAAGGGAGAAGGGGAAAAAAATCAAAATATTGAGAATTTAGTCAAGTGAACAGAATAAAAAATATTTTGATATATCATTACTTTATATAAAAAACTAATTAATAAACTTCACACACTGTCTTAGAAATTAGGGATGCAGTAATAATTTTACCAATAAATTCTGATAGCAAATAAAGACTTTGATAATCAAGCTGAGAAATCAATTACAATCAAACTCAGATACAACAGCACCAGTTATAATGACAAAACTTTGACAGTCCAGCTACCGTGTTTCCCCGAAAATAAGACAGTGTCTTATATTAATTTTTGCTCTGAAAAATGCGCTAGGTCTTATTTTCAGGGAATGTCTTATTTTTTCCAGGAAGAAGAATTCACATTTATTATTGAACAAAAAAATTCCCAAGTCGAACTTAGACGAGAGTGACATATATCCGGTGTGTCAAACTGTCGCCCTTTTATAGCGTCAACATCGGACTCGATGACCAATTAGTGCTTACTGAACCATAGCACTATGCAAATGTCATGTGGCTTGATTCCGGGCCGACCAATTAGCCATCACCAGCCTTAACGTTATGCAATTCTGTGATTCCCAAGCCATAGTCTTATGCAAATCATGCCGTGTGGCGTAATTGTCTGCTGACCAATCAGTGGCTGTACTTTCGAAAAGCCAACGGCCACTTTCAACCATCTGTCGATGACCGTTACACTAAAAAAAAACTTCGCTAGGTCTTACTTTCAGGGGGAGGTCTTATATTTCGCAATTCAGCAAAACCAGTGCTAGGTCTTATTTTCGGGGAAACACGGTAGATCCCTACACTTTAACATTACATTTTACCCTGATATAAGGATATTGGAACTCAGTTATAACAACAAAATTTTCTTAATTTTTCAACAATTAAATCGATGTTTTAGCCTACTTTTAAGGAAAAAATTTAACAGAACATTGTATGTTATCAGTTTTATATTATTAGTTTAGTTTAAGTAGAAAGGGCTTTTGGTGAAAGAATGTCTAGGAGTGGTCCTGTTAAATTGATAAACATGTTGCTGCAAAACCTCTTCAGCCAACTGAATGTTTCTATTGACAGATAACTTGGTGATGGATCCAGTCAAGGAAGTTAGATTTTCTTCCTTTAATGGTTAGTCATTTCTGCAAATGTTCACTACAATATACAGTACCTTGCGAAATTATTAGACCCATATTATGAACTGAAGAAAAGAAAACACTGTAGTACAAAAAATATGACTAATATTTTTTGTACTACTGTATTTTCTTTTCTTCATTTCATAATATTGTTGAAGTAATAACCGTGTTTTTTTTATTTTATTTTTATTCTCTATTATACCATCAATATATTTTTAATCAATAAATTCAATATGGCAACACTGTAAATGTAAAAAAAAACAACTTTCTACTACAAAAAGAAAACTGATAGAGGTTCTTATTAAGGTATGGCACCATAGCCCATTGATGAGAACAAAAATAAAAAAATCTGTAAAGGATATTCCTTGTCATATAGCACTTCTGGCTGATAAGAGTGATCATACAAAATACAGGAAATCCTCATTAGTTTGAAATTCAAGGGATGAAATAATCGCGACTTTGAATTATCCAAGATTTACACATTTCTGTTCAATATGCCAAATGCCATACAACTGATGTAATTTATTAAGCGCACAGAATATGGCTACATAAACAGAGCAGTATTTTTGTTAATTAATTAATAAATAATAATAATATTAATGAACTGTAGGTAAACAGCATGTGTCCAGTGAGAATCTCACAGGTTGCCAAACAGGTTTTATAAAAAGTAAAGCAGAACTCCACAAAATATAGTCCAAAAAGTAGTAAGTTGCCCAACTGTAGTAGTCTACAACTTTAAAAATTTCTCAATCTATTACTTGTAGTACAATCTTGCAATCCCAAAACACAATCATATTTTATGATACAAGAAAAAAAAAGAGGTAGTTCATGGGTTAGGTAACACCCAAAAATGTGTTACTGTAAAAACAAAGCAATGTTGACCATAGTAGAGTTTTTCTTGGTCTATTATTCTCTTACGGTATGGAGGCACTTTGATCTGAACAAACAAGTTAACATCAGCATATCAGTTCGGACAGAATTTCCACTTCAATATTTGAATTAGCCTCATTTCAAACTAACTGAATTCCTTAACATGTAAATCTCTATATCCCCTTTACAAATAGTACAGTTATGAACTATCTGAGTTTGAAGTAATGAAAATTTTCTGTAATTAAATTTCAAGTAATATGATTTAGAGATAGGCCAAATTACTTGAAATTTTATAAATCCATTTTATATTAATTACAGCAACATTTGTATTAAATTTAAATTATTATTAAATATCTTTCAAGTTAAAAGACAGTAATATAATAATGTTCTAAACAGTGATCAATGAACAAAATTTCTGCAGCCTGTTGGATGCCCTGACCATTACAATCCTTTACCAAATAAGGAAGTTTGTTATTGAACAGCTTGTATAGCTAAGCATGCCAAATTATTTGATATTTACAAAAAATTAGAGTCTACATCGATCACAGAAATGGAAAATCTTATTCAATACCAGGTAATTATTATACAATTGTAACAAATTAATCTTTATATGTTTTGTAGCCGAAATGATCATCTTATGTAGATGTTTGTATTATTTATTCACATACTTACATTAATAATAATATAAACTATACCTAATGGAAAATAGATGCTAAAACAAACAAAACAAAAGAACAAAGAAATATATGGCAACTGCTTTGTTATGGGATTGTCTCTCTGTAAAAATGGCCAGTGCAAGGACCACATTTCCCATAGCCTGCAGGTACAGTGGAACCTTGCTCAATGAGCACCTCTCATAATGAGCAATAAGAGGAGCGGAAGTCCTGGATTGTGTGCATGTTACATCAGTCTGTGTTTAGCACTCATTCTGCTAGCATGTTAGTGTTGCTTGTGATCACACATTTTTCCAAACTTGTGTGTTCAGACATATTACATATAAACATCAACAACCATAGCCCATTATATAATAAATACACCAAACAATATGCCTAATTCTTGGGCTATGTAAAGGCTATAATTAAATAATTTGACTAGAGATAGGCAGTTATGCTGCTATCTCATATTAAATTTAATGACCGATTCAAAATTAAATTTCTTTTTTTGTTTTTTGCAAATCAAATTCGCATTCCAGGTTGGTTCATTCCACTAGAAGATAAGATGAAGAAAAGATGATGATGATTCACACTCCCTTAACAATGTATATTGTATAATTTTCTTTGAATAAACATTATACATAAAATATTTGAGTATTTTTTCAACATGGAATGCATTATTGTATTTTACATTAATTTATATGGAAAAAATTGTTTTGCTTAACAAGTGTTTCACATTACAAGTAAGATTCTGGAACAAATTATGCTCGTTACGCAAGGTTCCACTGTACAAGAATAGCCTCTTTTGTGGTGGCAAGTGCAAAGTTCACCTGTCCACATCTGTCAGGTACAAAGATTGTCTCTTCTGTGTCTAACAAGTTCAGAGATTGCTTCTTTCTTTCTGGCTCTGCCTCATTTTATCGCAATATGACAAGTTGCACAATGTCCTAGTTAATCTTTTATACAATTATTATTATTTTTTTTTTCTATTTGTTCAAATTATTTTCCTTATATAATCAATAATTTTATCGTAAAGTGAGCCATTTATCTTAATTAAAGTGATAATTTATATATTAATTTAAATAGGCTTTGAGAATATAAAACTTAGTTTGAGTAAATGGCTGAAGGTAAAAATACATATCTCTTCTTATTTTACTATTACTTCATGATGAGGTTATTACCATTACTACTACTAGGACTATCACTACCACAAAACATAATTCTAACTGTTCAATTTGTTACTTAATTAGTAATGATGACTCATGGCTTACTTGACAAATCTACCAATTAAAAGAATAAGCTTCAACATACAACTGTTGATAGGTTAAGAGTTTTATAAAGCCAATGAAACTGCCACGAGGAGGGCTGACACTACCGTCACCATTAATCCGAAACCCTGCCAGTTAAAGTTTGTTGACTTAAGGAATGCTAAATTGTCACCCTGGAACCCAGATGCAAAACTGAAAAAAGACACTGAGAGAGAGGACTCATGGTAGATGCAAATGACCCAGAAATTGCTTGCTTTACTGATGATTTTTGTGTAGAATGCCAAGTTTTAAATAACCTCATTGATAAATGTATTAAAATATGCAACTGCAAATGCCATTAAAATTTAAAATATAATTGATCATTCTTACTTCAAAAGCTAATTCTTTTCCTCTCCAAACCCATATTCCTGAAATAGTACTATTATTATCTTCTCCAAATAAAATCATACTGGCAAAGGCATTCTTTCTTAATTTTTCTAACCTCTGAAACATACCTATAATGAAAATAATAAATAAAGCATTCCAAAAGAAAACAGCAATTTTTAATTGATATGAAATGTACATACCAGAAATAAGATTGCAGCTCATGAACACAAGTGTTAAATCTTCAGGATATTTGTATTCACAATACCAGATAGAGTAATTTTCCTTATCAAACTTATTCCAGAAAAACGGTATGGATACATTTCCATCCTCATTAGAATAAACTCGTTTAAATTCATCCATGACGAATGTACCTTTAGGAAATTTTTCAAAAGGATCTTTTTGTTTTGATTCTTGTGCAAGAATCATTTCTGTTTCATCAGGTTCATCAAGTTGTTCTTTCTTTGCCTTCTTGTCTTCCTTTTGTTTATCTTCTTTCTTTTGCTTTTCATCTTTAGGTGGCTTATTACTTTTTTCTTTTCCTTTACTTCCTTGTAATTCTTGGAACTTTTTGGCTAGACAATACAAATATAAACATTTTTCTACTAAAAACCTTTTCTAACTGCAATTTAAATATTTTTAAAAAAACTCTATTGTTTAAGAATATAAATATAAAAATTACAAATAGTTGAAGATTTAGTAACAATAATATGAATTATATTAACTCTACATTTCTTTAAGCATTAAAAAATTGTCTTCAACTTAAGTATTCAGTAATGATAAGAATTAATATTTAAAAATAGCTCTCTCCTTTAAAATCAAAATAATTATAAACACCTGCACATTGAATATGAAATGTGCACAGTAAAATTCAATAACAGTAATTCTATTATTAAAATGTATTATTAAAGAAATTATATTCATTAAAAGACTATTTTACAGAAGCTTATATGAATTAAATAATTAAAAATGATATTTATTTCTGTTTGAGACTATTTGTCTCTTGAACAGCAAAAAAGTCTCTTGGTGTTTAAGTGAAAATATTTCTTAATAAGTATGATAAATCCTAAGATTAGAAGCTGATATAGAAGCTTAACAATCATTAAAATATGTTATTTGTGTTTAGTATTGAAACAAAGAACAATAAGGCAATGTACATTGATTTGAATTAACAAATTTTTGCTATTTATTGGTGAAGATGCATAACTTAAAGTTTAAAAATGTGAGCCATTGATGTAGAACTATCACAAGTACTTACTTCAAATGCTTTATGTCATATGGATATCTAAAAAACTGCACTTTTTAATAAAGAAACATATGCTTAAATTGAAAACTAATAATTCCTCATGTACAAATATAAACTGAAACTAAAGTGGTGTGACTAATAAGCTGTATGTTTCATTAGTTTGGAAACAGGAATGGTGGTTTTCAAAAGTTTAGGAACATGTATGAAGAGAGACCAAAATAATATGCAAAGTACTTTATTTATAAAAACACAATTTTGTCCTTGTGTTCCAACATTCTAATAAATATATACAAATAAGACAAAGGTAAAATGGTTACAGTCAAATAAAAGACTAAAGTTGTAGCATTAAGAATTAATGGTTCTACCTTTTATTGATCAATAGCAACCTAGTTAAATTGTGGAAATAGCAGGATTTTTAAGTGGCTTAAGTGGTCAGTATTAATGATAAAGGTGTATCCTTTATCATTAATACTGACACCAGACCACAAAAATAAATTTTTAAAATGTCAAGAATTTTCATTCCACTTTATAAATTTTCTTTCCTATAGAAATCACAGATGTTATCAATACATTTAAATGTAACATCTGAGATCTCTATTTTTCATAATTACTCTTAACTGAGGTATACTTTATTTTCAATCTATATTCATTTCAGGAATATTTTCATACCACCTTTGTTTTTTAAAATACAAATTTTTAAATGTTTGATATAAATAACTATATTTGACACTTACCATCAAATTGTGCCATTTTTTCACATAGCACCACATGTCCTAAAACTTTGACAAACTGAGGTTGATTAATGAGAGTATTAAACCATCTATTCACATTGGTATATGGTTTACGGAAGGCTGGTTCAAAAACCTGAATAATTTAAAATATTTCAAAAATCACCATACATCAAATTATGAATATAAACAATTATCATTTTAACAAAATGAATAAAATGAGATTGTAAAAACAAGTAATAAAATACACAGAAAAATACAATTATGATCCAGTGTAAGTCATTTTAAAAATCTAATATATAAAATACATGAATTGTTTTTTTTTTAAATTTCAACTTATCAACAAACAAAATGATTAGACCTATTTTGTTGTAACAACAATTTAGTTGGAGTAGTTAGTTGTACATTTATTATCATCAATCATAGTGCTAATAAATATTCTGTATGATCAACTGCAACATAATAGTAATTACAATTAATCTCTTAAATATTAATTGAAAAATGAAGTCATATGACATTAATAAAGTTTTAATTCTAATAATAAACTTCTTTTAAAACTGATAGTATGCCATATTTCAATTTTATAACAATACCATAAGTTAGTTAGTTATCAAATAAATCACAATTAAAGTGAAATAATATTTTTTCTTTAAAAATGATATTTCTCAAATAAAATGGCTAGCAATAAAGATAAACATTTTCAGACACAGAACATTATTTATCCAACTCAAAAGAATGATGTAACAAGTGATATAACTTTTTTAAATATCATATTTTATTTTTACTTCTAGCAATGATTCTAATAAAAAAATTTATCTCCAACAAATGTTAAAAATAGCTAAACATATGACAAACATATTGTCACGGTGTCTTTGCAGTGCACGGTAATACCATTTCAGAACATGCTAATATTCATTAAAAATAACAATTTAATATGAAATAACTACATTTATAATCATTGCTAAGTGACCTGTATTTCATTAATGATTTTATAAATAATGAGGAACTATTTTCTGCAGATGAATGATATGCAACACTGTTTTTAATTGATGGATGTAAGATTAAACCAATAAACAACTGGGTGTGTCTTAATTTGTTTACAATAAATACCAACTTACGATAAATAGACTGTAGACATATAATGGCAGCATGAACTAAACTAAAACACATGTTTTAGGCCATATGGAATGAAATAAAGCTATATTCTCACCAGAGAATAAATAAAATTTTACTAGAATTGTAAAGTCATTCTTATTCCTTGTATTGTTGAATTTCATATACAACAAATCGTGTATTTGATATTCAATGAAATTGTTTCTGCACAAATTTAACAATTTAATGATTTTACTCTTTTAAAACTTAAAAATTCTAATTTATGTAATCTTCCACTTTCTAATTTTTAATAAAATTTTAATTAATAGATTTTCTGTTCCTGCATTAAAGAAAAGAAAATCATATTTAAAAATATATTCAAATATGATTCCATTTGAAAATATTTAATAAAATTTATTGAATCTCACGAAATTATTTTTGCATATTGTACTCATTATTATTCAAAGTATATTTTTTCACTTTGATATACAAGCTATTGATAATTTTGAATGTTTTATATCTTAACTTCTAAAACACCATGATGACAATTTTCTTAAATCTGTCAATAAGGTTTCCTAAAAATGTTAAATATCTTTTGTTTGATTTCTGAGAAATCATTTATCTACAATAAATTATTGTTAAAATGATAAAATTCAATATTTTGTAATTACAATAAATATTTTCAGATCTCTCTTCTATATATGTCAAGAAATATTATATGACTTTAAAAATTAATATTTTCTAATATATATAAATTTATTTAATATTTATGTGAGACTTCATTTCATGTATACAACACATATAGACATTATATGTATATAATAAGAAATCTCTTGTTATTCCTCTATTACATTACATGCAAAGTCAGAAAACTGAGCATGCCGTAGAAAGAGGATAAAATTATTCTAAAAATTCAATTTTGTGTGTGTATGTACACACACACAGGAGGTCCCCTACTATTTATGTATGTTCAACTTACAAACATTTTGACCCTGTCTAAATTTAAATTTCATGCAGATTCTTAAGTGCCCTTGCTGGTTGTGGGGTGGCATGGAAGTCAGTCCTTGGCCAGTAATAAATAATTAAATGTGGATTTATTTCTATTGAGTATCATCATTTTTTCTTTGCACACAAATTCTGATATTCCATTGCTGCAGTGAGGTGGCTTTGAAATTGGTAATGTTGGAGTAATAATATTTTTTGCCTTTTTTTTTTAAATAAATTTTTACCATGAGTGCTTCAAAAATGCATCCAAAATGTAATAGTAAATTTAGCAATGAGATAAATGCAAGAAATGTCACTATTACTGTAGAAACTAGATATTATAGAACTGTGTGTGTTAGGTAAAGTAAAAAAAAAAAAAAAAAACTGCATTTGAAATTCCCACTACTAAGAAAGCAAGTAGATGAACATAATGTATTCTATTAAGTATAGTAAAATTTTGTTAATCCAGAATCCGGAATGCCAGCAAAACTGATAAGCTGGCATATCTAGCCTGTCATTGGGGGATTATCAGTCATTGTTCTTTACCACCACAATCAACAACTTTCAATATAATATAAACATCGTGGAAACAGATAAGGACAAAAGCAACATGATATACTAGATAAAACCAGTTAGTTTGTGCCTGATTTTTCCAAACACATTAGTGCATAGGTTTGATATGAAAAGAAAAATATTTAGCACACCTAGAACCAATAATCATCACAGAAACAGCTACAATATTGTTCATGTACAAAGTAAGAATTTGTGTTCTTGTTTGAAGCCAACCAAGGGTATGAATAGTGTGGAAAAATTGAAATATGTTAAACAATAGATATAAACATCTACCAAAACCTAAATCTTAGCAAATAGACACCCACAATTGCTGTAAATAATTGAGCTATAATTTGGAAATATTAATTATGAATTACAAATAAATTTGACACTAGAGGGAGGCATTATGCGCCATCTCGTATTAAATTTAATAACACTTGCCTCTAGTGTCAGATTTATTTGTAATTCATAATTAATATTTCCAAATTATAGCACAAATATTTATGGTAATTGTGGGTGTCTATATGTTAAACAATCATAAAAGGTGGACTTGTACAGTTTTGTGTGCAAAGACGTAAAATAACTGTCCAGGGAAAAAAATCCCACTGTCCAATAAGGCAACATATTTGATAAATAGCACCGTGTCAGTCCTGAAGTTAGGTTAATGAACTGTAAATCGAAAGATCAAGCACTAACAATACATGGTTATTCTGTATACAAAATGTACTTCCTTGTTTATTTTTTGATCTACAAGAAAACCCCACAAACCTAAACTGTCCGTAAGTAGGGGAGCACCTGTATATATAATTAACTTTATAGTACATAAAAATACTGAGCTACACTGAAAATTTTATGCTATTATTCTAAAATATATTATATATATATAATAAATTTGAAGACAACTTTCTACCTAAAGTTTCTATTTCAATTTTCTGTTCAATTCTATGTTTCTTAATAGAAACACAGAATTGAACATAGAAAATATTTAAAACTTAAAAACAAAATCACTATTAGGATATCACAAATTACAGTAGAACCTCCATTATCCGGACCTCCATTATCCGGATTTTCGATTATCCGGATTGTTCAAAATAAACAAAAATTTTACGAATTTGCTGATCTGCACTTGGAGAATTACGACACTGTTTATGTACGTGATGGAATGCATAACTTTTTTTGTTTCAATAACGTCTTACGCAGCACAGTGGTCGTAAACTCTTAAATATATTTTACGTCGTAATAAAAATATAACTTGACATACGTATTTATAAATAATTTATATTTAAATTACATCATTTCTATGACCAAGGGCAGCGTAAGGCATGGGCGACGTGGGCCACCGCCTACGCCTCGCGGTCCGAAGCGCCTCGCGCCTCGAAGGTTTATGCATTACTTAAAAGCCGCGAACGCGACGAAAAAATTTTACTCGTCATAAAACGATAAATAGTTTATCAAATTTTTATTCGTAAAAATGCAGTTTCAACTGCTTTTTATTTTATAAAATCCGTCTTCTTGCGCCACCAGAGGGCCTTTTAAACAATAGGTAGTCTGTTAGCGTTGGTCAGTAGTAGTCCAAATTCAATATGAACGTTTGTTTCTTGAAAATTTGATCACGATTTAAATACAGTATTTACTTTTAATATTGCCGATATGTCATCGCAAAGAAAACGTGTTGTATTATCATTAAAAGACAAATTAAAGTATTTGTTTCGATTATCCGGATTTTCCTTTATCCGGACTACCTTCATCCCCAATTAGTCCGGATAATCGAGGTTCTACTGTATTAGAAAAATTTTTATATTCTATTTTATCTTCAAATTTATCAATAACTTAATAACGAATGCTTATCTTGAAAATCCTTTTCTTTTCATAAATACAGTAAAAGCTCTCAAAACAACCACCACCTGTTCTAGAGAGTTTTTGGTCTTTTGTAGAAGCATATTTTTAATTCACTGTTAAACATATATCATACTGTAGACAAACTTATTGCTTATATGTCTACTTATAGTTAATATCTAACAAAAGATAACAAAAATTTCTGTCAATTATCAAATCTTAATAAAAATGCATCATTACCTGTTGATAAAGTGGAAGAAGGGTGCATGCTACTGTAATATCACCTTGTGTGATATTTTCTCCTACAAGGTAAGTCCTAGTAAGTAAATGATCATTCAATATTTTTAATACCTTCTTAATATCTTCTTTTGCACGTTCAGTTGCCTGCAAAATATGCAATTTTATTAAATTTTAATTGCCAAGTGTTTAATTTATGAATGAGTAAGAAAATCAATACCTGTTTATTATATTGCATAATACCTAGACATGGAAAGAGCCAGGTGCAAGCAGGAGGTAGAATTTCATTATCAGCAAAATTAATCCATTGCAAAATTAGAGTCTGAGTCAAAACATTTGATCCCCTCAGCTGTTCATTTCCAACTAGAATTTAATTTTCAAATTCATTATTAATAAAAATAACACCATTTATGAGTTAAAAAAAATTTATGAAGTAGTATCTCAGTTAACATATAATGAAAAATATATATCTGCTATTTCTAACATTTTATGTGTGTTATTAAATTTCTTACATTCTTTAATTTATTAGGTAATATTTTGGGGATTATTTATTAGTTAAAGAGTTAATTAAGATTACATTCACCAAACAAGTTTTATTTTAATTATATTTTATAATTGTTTATTATGTTGGCTGCTATTCTTCAGAGTTTGTTACCAAATGAAATTTTCTATGTCAAATGTTTTAATTTTGTTAGTTGTTTTGCTACAGTAGAAAACTGACTGCAGAAAAATACCGGTTTAACAAATTTTTAATCCTCTGCCAATTTACTATGCATCTTAATTAATGTAAAAATTTTAATTATTTCGTCCGATGGTTCTTTTTCTTTAATTAATATTAGGAGACCAAATTCGCCCAAACGGGACCACCATTTGTTAACTTTATGTTCCAGACAATACAATCCTGGCGACCGACCTTCCTTTTTAGGCTACTAGCCGCCAAAACGCTAAAAAGTCCTTTTAAAAACACAAAGATTTCCAATTAAAAAATGTAAAATTTTTCTAAAACTGGAACTGGTGTATACGAACGTTCTCTTGAGACCATCTAACCTTCTTGGGTGTTTCGGCTTTTTATCTACGAGGAAGAAGCGCTGGAAAATGTAGATTAAAAAAGCATCCCCAGGTGACGATATTTAGCAATTATTAATTTTAATTATTTCGTCCGATGGTTCTTTTTCTTTAATTAATATTAGGAGGCCAAATTCGCCCAAACGGGACCACCATTTGTTAACTTTATGTTCCATACAATACAATCCTGGCGACCAACCTTCCTTTTTAGGCTACTAGCCGCCAAAACGCTAAAAAGTCCTTTTAAAAACACAAAGATTTCCAATTAAAAAATGTAAAAGTCTGGAACATAAAGTTAACAAATGGTGGTCCCGTTTGGGCGAATTTGGTCTCCTAATATTAATGTAAAAATGTTTCAATTTAACATAATAAAATTTCAGGCTTTTATGAACAAAAGTGATCATTATAATGAACTCCAATGTATAAAAAAAAAATCAATTATTGTGACATTGTTACAATAATTGTTTGAATTATGCAATTTTTAATCATGTATTAATTTTTTTAAAATCTACTTTCAGAACAAATCAAAATATAAATTATTTAAATTTTTAAATTGAGGTCATATGAATATTGTACACCTTAGAGGTCAATTCTCTTCCAAGTTATCACTCTATATAATATGGGAAAAATTTTAAATTGAAATCACATGACTTCTTATCCAAGACCAGAAGTTTGTATACAGTTAACTGTTCTCAAGACTAACAAAGGACAGATGACAGTAGGAATATACAATTAGTATTATTTATTGGTGATGTGCATTTTGTCCTTATATTATGGCACAGTATGAATTTTCTAGTTACACATAAAACTGAAAATTACTCTCTTCTTTCAACAATAAACAATGGCTATTCAGAAGAGAAATTTTGGTCAAAATAAAATCAAAAAGGATGTGTGTTTACTTGAGGAGTGCATGATTATCAGTTCTGCTGCTGCTTTGTGCATTTAGCTGTTTGTTCAATACAGTGCTAACAAACTTTTAATCACAAATGTGTTTGACCAGATGGCTGAGATAGAAAAGAACAGCCTGATACTCCAGAAACTTCACTAATACAGAATTTTTGAAGAATGGGTTGACCTGGATATGTCAGGCTCTGTGCCTCACCAACCACTGCTCTTATGGACCTGGCTATGATAGGCATGATTAAAAAACTCTTAGTGTCTAGAATAGAGAGTAAAAAAATTTCACTATAGTATCTTATAAAATTTTAAGCATGGAGTTTGCTTTAACCAGCAGCACTAGAATAACTGATTTTAAAGATTGCTCTGTCTAAAAATTTTTCATTACTTTATTATAAATATTACATTATTATATACACAAATATTACTAACATTTAATGAGATCATTAAAGGATATGTTTAAAAGAAATAAGGCAACGAATACATTTTTACTCCCTATTAAGAACTACATTTTCTTTAATACAGAATGTACATTTTTATTAAGAACTACAATTTAATGTAAAAATGCTTAAAATAAAAATAAAAATAAAATAAAAATGTTATGCCACTATCTTGTAATACAGTAGAACCTCGAAAACTCGTCCCTCGATAACTTAGCACTCCGGATAACTGGTCCACACCTTGGCAGGGCGAAAAAATCCTTAGTTAATTAATTTTCATTATAGACAGCTTTATAAAAGTATAAAAGCTCTCAAAGTATTTTTCTGAGGTCTGTCTTATCAGGTAAATTACTGTACACAGTGTATTCATTAATTTTCATTTTCATGTAGTAAAGTACGTAGCCTTCATAAAGTACGTAGTTTTCCTTTGTTTAAGGGTATTTGGGCAGTTTATTCTCTGTTATATTCTGTACAAGTAAATACTGTACAAGTACAGTACAGTATTTTCTGAGGAAATACTCGTACTTATTTTTTTTAACCCCATTCCCGATAACTCGGCATTTTCACAAACTCTACCACAATTCGGTCCACATTAGGTCGAGTTTTCGAGGTTCTACTGTATTACTAAATAGAACAATACTGAAAATAAGCAAAGTATTGAACCTATTGTAATAAGAACAAGCTCATAATATTAAACTGAAATTTTGTTATAAAAAATCATTAAACTGCAAAACATAGTAAAACAGACACAATGTCACTTAAATAAGAATTGCAATGAAGTTTTGCCTCATTCATCATTTCTCTGGAATTGGCACCCTTAGATTATTATTTGTTTAGATCTTTACAGAATTATTTAGATAGGAAAAAAATTAGGTTGAATTGATGAACTCAAAAAGCTATTTTGGAATATATTGCCTCAAAATCTGAAGACTTTTTCAAATTGTGAGATTGATAGAAAGATGGAAATGAGTGATACAACAAAGTGGATCATAGATAGTTGATTAATTGTTTGTATTTGTAAATTAAATGTTTAAAATTAATGTAAAAAACACAAAGATTTACTCAACAAAAAACAAAGGAATTGCTAACAAAGAGTAAATTAAGAATGAATTAGTTTGTCTCTGAAAAATTATGTAAAACAGTGAATGTTTTAATTGTTTTACATAATTTTTCAGAGGCTTAGCCTCTAATAAAAGATTATCTCTGGAAGACTTGTTCCTGGTGATCAGACATGAAAGAATTGAAGACAGCTTGGTTTCTTCTATATTTATTAAATTCCAAAATAAATTCAAACATTCGACTGTTGGTAGGTCTAAGTTTTATTTGTAAGATGATTGCCACGAGGTAGGCTGCTACCACCATCATCCTTAATCCAAATCTCCTGCCAACTGAAGTTGGTCAGCCTTAAAAATGCTAAATTTCCATCCTGGAACCCAGATAAAAAGTTCAAATAAGTCTAACAACAGTGGAGAACAGGCAGACACAAATTATCAACAAACAAACTTGGAAAACACTTGCTGTACGGATGATTTCTGTATAGAATGACAAATTTTAATGAGTGCATTGATTTATTTTAACTAAATCAAACTGTCAGTATCAACAGTTTCCTGCTAATTTACTATTATTATGTATTTATTTCTACAAGTTCCTAAGTTAAAATTAAAACACAATAACTGAATAAAAACTTCTATATTTTGTTGTTACTATTTCCACAAATATGAAGAAAATAGGCTTATTTCATTGTAAATACTGGATGTTATCATCCCTTATAAACAATTTTTTTTTTTTTAATTTACCTTATCCAACTAATACCCTACCAGAGTTCTCCTTCCTCCAGCCTAGATCTTTGAGTAGGATCCACCCATTAACAATAACAATCAAATTAATTGAAATAAAGTAAACAGTTTTTATTTCACTTTTAAACTACATGTAGTATTAAAAAGTTGCATGATTAAATTTATTAAAATTAAAAAAAAGATATTTCATAAACTAAAATATTCAAGTAAAATTTACTTAAAACTTTACATATTTTAAACATTGTTACTTGATCATTTGATCAAATAATTTGGTTGCCTTGCTTTGTTCATTCAAAGTGCTTAATATTTAATCTCTCTATTATAACACTACTAATTTTTGTTAAATACATCAAAATATATATTAAAACTTACCATATATAAAACTGATATTAAATGATACTGATATTATATCAAAATTTTGAAACCAAAGTCCAATATTCTAGACACATTTCCATTACAGATAAATCTTCAATGTATCTGAGACATTAATATTAGGCATTTAATGTTTAAAATGATATTTTGAGAAATATGTATGATGGCACAATACTGTTTCAATAATTTTTGAAAGTTCCATATTTTTAGCTGGATTATTGTATCTAAATTATTGCTTTTCTATTTCTTCATAACATTTTCCCAGCTACAATTCTCAATATTCAAAATGACACTTTCATAAATTGTTGCTTCTTTATATCATATATATAAAACATAATTTAATTCTATAGCTATTATCTAAAGTGAACTAAATAATAAAGAAGACATTTCTCTTCCTTTGTTTGGTTACATATCAAATCTATGAAAGATGAGATATGTCGGAAAATCAAAGGTAATTTATTTATTTGAATTATTATTAAAAAAAAAAAAACCACTTACCAAAATGGGCAATTGCATTACTTTCAAAAATAGTACATCCAGTCTTATCATACAATGCTGGCACCTGTAATTATTTACATATTCTAAAATTTAAAGAATAAAAAAAATCTTAGAAGATTGTAAACAAATTTAAACTGTTTAATAATTTTAATGCTGGAATTGATAGCTAACAATAGTGATAAATAATTGAGTTAAGTGCATATTTCTCAATTTAATTTTACAAAGTTTCTTAAATATCTATAAAATTTCAAATATTCAAGGTAAAATAAATACTATTAAGAACATAAAATGTAATTTTATTTCTATATACTACTGTGATTAAAAACTATTGGGAATACAGTGGGCGATCGGTTAATGAACAGATCGGATAGCGAACAAATCACATAACGAACACTTTCGCGAAAGATTTTTATGATCAGACAATGAACACATGTTTGGATAATGAACACTTTACTGAACAAACATAAAAAGAAGCAACAGAAGATAATGAATACAGATTGATTTTCCCTTGTCTTCAGGCAACAATTCGAAACCTTTCGGAGCATGGGAGACGTCAACATCGACGCTCAACCCGATACAGATCGGATAGTATAATATTCCTCTGAATTTTGAAACGATCCCTTGTAATTCCAGCTTTTTGTTTACCTTTCTGACAAATAATTTTTTATAGCATTCGTGAGACTGATGGACGGCATTTGTTAAGTTTTCGTCGGGATTTATTTACAAAAGGTGATCCAATGGGGCAGTTTAACTGCCCCATTGGATATTCGTTAACATTTTAATACCAAATCTCGAATTTCACCCAGGCCTTGCATTTAAATAACTTTTTGTGGGCTAGTTGATTTCTGTTCTCTGAATTTTTGTAAGTGCTTTTATGAACTTTTTAGTTAAGGAAGAAACTGATAATATTATGGAGCCTAAAAAGATGAGAGTCAAGAACTGCGCTCACTGTAGAAACCAAGTAAGAGATAATAGCCACGGTAGAAAGTGGGCACAAGATGTCTGATATTGCTAGGCAGTATGGCTCGAACAGATCTACAGTAGGCACAATCTTAGCTATGAAAGATATATCAAGAAGTCTCAAGCTGCTAATGGAGTAATGAAAATCACATCTGAGAAATGAAGAGCATTTTAGAACTCATAATGGAACCCGAAACTGATCTGACAACAGAAGAACTCCAAGAACTCGCAAATGAAGACTATCAAGAAACTAGGCAAGATGTGTTTTCTTTTGAAAAAGAGGAAGACGAAAGAGGACCAATGTCAACACATTATCATCCAAGTGGCATCCAAACCAGAATAAGGTTAATGGGGTTAGGGATCTCTACCATTACAATACTATTAGTTACTTCTGAAAAATCCTGAAGAAAAGAGAAAAACAATTGACATTGGACAGATTCTTTAACCCCCACAAACTGAAAAAAACATGACTAATAAAAATGCAAGACTGCATATATATTTTTACTATTACATATAAATAAACGTAGTAAAAAAAGTATATATTTTTTAATTTTTGGAGTCTCTGGAACGAATTAATCAAATTCCCATAAAAGCAAAATAAAACATCAACAGCACACTGTGATATATAACAACTAACCTATATAAACCAATACCGGTATTGGTTTTTAGAGGTTAGTTCCCATAAAAGCCTATGGTAAATTGATGATTGGTTAACGAACAAAGTCTTGGAACGTATTATGTTTGTTAACCGATCACCCAATGTAGTTCATTTAAACTTCTTGCACACAAGAGGGCACAGTCATCATGTTTTTTTGTCATTTGGTACTACTTTCATTGATATCTAGCAGCAAGCTGCATGTCAGTCTGTTTCCCTTTGCAAATAAACACTTGTTTCACGTGTAAAGAATTTTTGCACCAGCAATTTTTCAAACTGTCAAGCATAATTGAGCAAAGAACATGCATTAAATTGTTTTTGCAAGAGAATTAATGCCATAAAAACATTGAAAATGTTGTTCAAGGCCTTTGGTGATGATGGTCTATCAAAAACAAGAGTTTTTGATTGGTACAAGATGCTCAAGGAGGGCAAAGAATGCAACCAAGATAACCATGATCTGGTAGACTAGCCACTTCAACTAATAAACAACACATTGCTCAAGTTAAGAGAGATTTGGTGTTCAATAATTGTCATTTAACAATTAAGGACAGTACTGAACATGTTCCAGTATCATTTGGATCTTGTCAAGCAATTTTACAAGACCATTTGGGTTTTCTGTGTCCCTTCTCAAGTCACCCTGAAACAAGGAATTTTTTCCAAAAACATGTTCAAGTGGTTGAGGAAATGCTTTCTCAAGGAAAATCATTCTTGAAACATGGGACTATACTTTTGACACCAAAACAGCTCAACAATCAAGTGAATGCCACTCGAAAGGTGAAGCAAGACCAAAAAGACCATGTCAAAGTCAAAAATCATCCGTTGTTTACGATATAGTAAATTCTTGGTACAACAGATAATTTTCAGTGGCCTGAGTGATCCATTAAAATGAGAATCTACTGTACCCATGATCAAAACATATTGGGAATGGTTCAATAAAAAGCAACATTTGAATTTATTTCATCCCCTTCAATGTTATCCTCTTTCCCTACAATATACTTATGTGAATGTTTTTTCCAATCCTTAAAACATGATTTAAAGTTTAATTAAAATGCCTCAATGTCCTTTTTCTTACTAAATTTTCGTCTATAATTTCGTATCTTCTATTATCAGGACTTATTATACTGGCTTTACAGATAATGTTACAAAGTTTTACAAAAAAACATTTTTTATTTTACTTAATATACCTGTATATTAGTTAATATACCTGTGTAATATACAGGTATATTAAGTAAAATAAAAAATGCTTTTCTGTAAAACTTTGTAACATTATCTGTAAAGCCAGTATAATAAGTCCTGATAATAGAAGATACAAAATTATAAACGAAAATTTATATTTTATGCTTTAATTAAAGTTATTTTCATGAAACCCCTTCAGGATTCTCAGCAAATTTTATTTTATGGCATTGATTGACTCAAACCCATGACTATAAAACAGAAATTTTAATCAAGGAAACAGGAAAATGTCCCACATTGCCATATCAAGTAAAACAGAGCTTGCAGAACCATATTTATTAAATTTTTAGCCAAATTTTCATGAACAGCAGCAGCATTGTCAGGATTATCTTGTTGCAAAATCCATGAGTTTTCTCACCACAAATCAGGTTATTTTCAACAAATTGCTTCACAAAAATGATGCAAATGCTCAAATATTTTTTAACAGAAGGAATTTGTGATGCACATCATCATGACAAACAAAGAAAACAGTCAATATGACTTGAAACAAGCAATAAATTATTATGCGTGTTAAATTTATTAAGTGTTTGGATGTTAATGACATTGGTTGATGACAAAGTAGAAAAACAAATGATTTAGTTAGTTGAAATAGAGCTTGTTCCAGAATGTTATTCTTTCATAAAGCATTCCCAACTACAAAAGTTCAGCTAAATCTTCTATAGAAGCCTGATCCTTGAAGCCTGGCCATTGAAAGACCAAAAATGTTTGCTTTGCATGTATATTGACAGTATTGCTAGAAACAAACAAAAGGTCAATTTATAATCAATTTGTATAGCATTCCAGCTTCAAAAAATAATTTTCTGTTGACTTTGTTGTAAAATTCTTCAATTATGCATATTCCAGATATCATTGAACTCAACAAATATTAACTTTAAAAATACATGAAGTTTACAATAGATGGAGCTAGAAAAAACTCTCTTATTCTGCAATCTATTAAAATGAGATTCTATTGTACTATCTATTTGGAATTTACACATAAAAATTCCAGTGAGCTCTTTTCTGTGTTTCATAAAGTTGATATACTGCCTTATCACCCTTTCTACAGCTTTCCAATCTCCCCAATCCAAAAATTTGGCCATTATGGCATCTCACACAGGGCTTTCTTTATATTACATATACCGCAGTTATTATTGTTCTATAGCAAATATGATATTGTTATGCTAGATTAAAAAATGCTAAATTTGGATAGGCATGATACATAAAGCTCAAGCTGAGAGTTATGCTTACAATCTATAAGTATATACTACATAATAATCAGCAAATTAATAAAAAAATTTCATGTAAGTAGTATGTCTCAAGTTTAAAAGTACAGGATTCCTACTCAAAATTTTGTTTTAAAATCCTTGACTTCCCCTGACCAACTTTGTACAAATTCCCCAACCCTTACAGTATGACACATTGATAAAATAAAACCACATTTGACTTACTATACACATATGTATTGCTTCTCCAACTTTTTAATTATTTATTTTTTCTAATTTCCAAATTATTAAAACTAAAAATAAACTACTTTAATTTAATAAAAACATTTTATTCTGTTATTAATCCATAATCATAAGTCTAAATAATTTTGAAAAAAAAAACATTTATTTATTGTTCATTAATTAACAAATCCTGTATAATCCATGTACAAAAGTATATATTTATAAATTTATCCCTTAATAAATTTCCTGAATTGCATAAAATTAATAAACTGAAAAAAATCAGAAATTGTTTTATTACACAATCAAAATTATTAAAATGAAAAATGATACATAATACCATTTATCATTTTTTGTACTTTGTAAATTTTTGGTCCTGAAAATATTTTGCAACCTCTTTTCATAAGTTGTTTGCTCCACATTACTTCTTGCTGTCTGTATTCTGCTATTACTTAGTCAAGCATATTGTCAGGAAAAAAAAGGCAACAAAGGAGGCAAATTCTCTGACTTTTTCTGAACACTAATGAAAATCCCTGATTTTTCCTAACTTTTCAGATGCATAGGAACCTGTAAATAAATTAAAGTGGTATCTCAGAACTCAAATAGAATTCATTCCTAGAGAATGTTCAATTTCCAAAGCAAATTTTTTCCATAAGGAAGAATGGCTGGGCTCATTCAATACATGTCACAAATTCATATCAACTGATTTAGAGAAGATTTTCATTCTTTGTAGCTCAAAATAAAAATTAACTCAATCTGGCAACACTGCCACATCATGCATACCCGTAGAATGTG